TTCTATGATCGTCAAGTACATCTGCGCCAAGTCATTGTAACGACGAATATAGTCGTAGAAGAGCGCAGTGAGAAAATCAAAGGCCTTCTTATGCGACATGTGAATGTACATTTTGGTCTTTTTAAGTTGCTCACACACGTCATCTGGCGTTATATCAGGGGCAAATCGAAGGAGTTGCCCAAGCAGAAGTGTGGCCGACATTCCTTGAGGATTAGAAATGTGATAGGACGTTTGACCATTAATATTAACGACTGGTGCGCCCCGTCCAGGCGGATCCGACTGATTAACAGTTTGCGCTGCAAACGCATACATTTGGTTCAACCGAGGCCCTTCTTCTCGATAGCACGAATAGAAGCTCGCATCCTTAAACATGCCCACTTCCCCGAGCGCTAAATCACGTTGGAATTGAGGCATTTCTCTGAGTTCAGGCATCACAACCCGACCTTCCTTGCAGCATTCCCGAGGAGTTTCTCCGGGCAATAGCCACGCCAGACAATGCGGACAGTTATTAAAATGTCCAACATGATGTGGATGGCGGTAGTAATAACCGCTGCTATGAGAGGCTTGACAATGAACAGTTGTCCGCCCTACTTTCGAAGACTTTGATCTCTTCAGTTCTTCCTTTTGGATGTAGTCCTGCTTACTCCTCCGCACCATGCCCTTTGTTTGGGTTTTTGGAGTAAATGGAGGAGGAGTGGGAGGCCGAGGCGCAGGCTGAGTCTTTGCAATCGCCGGGGTTCGAGGCGGCGAAGGAGTTTTTCTCCTTGTGTCATTCACAAAGTCTTGACAAAGTTGGTTATAGACATTGTCAACAGGACTACTGTGAAAGATAGAATTCAGAATTCTAATTGAAAAATTCCTGGCTGTCCCGCTGCCCCAGCTAACGGCTGTGTTGGGCGCCATTCCATTGGACTCTATGTACAGATGGGCATTGCAAACAGTGTGGTTTGCAGTGAAATTTCCATCATTAGTCCAATGATACTGAGCGGAATTCGTAATCACATAAATCTCAGCGTTCGGATTGGCGCCGGTTTGAGGACAGAAAACATTTCTATAGACCTTTAGGAATATATCATGGAATTCTTTGGCATCAATCCCAGTCCTAACAGGGTCAATGATCACGACCTTGGCCGATCGCCTGTTTTTATACATTACTGCAAGGGCAAAGAACCGTGAGGTCACCACCTTTCGAGTCGATCGTCGCTTCAGTATGAGCGGAATAAATAAGGCAGGGTCATGGTCACTATCTTCCGTTGGAATGCTGACCAACTGATAATCCGCAGGATCCGCCGAGGTATCCAGCGACCATGAAGGAGAGATGAGACCAATAGGTCTTCCTGATTGACTTATAAGTTGAGCCAATGAAAACGAAATCAACTTGGGATCAAACTCATCGTCGTCCCTCTCTACATATGTCAGCTCAGATTCGCCGAACAATCTCTCTTCAAAAGTCTTTGTACTTGTGCCGACGCGATTGGCGTCCTTGAAGAGCTCCATCATGTATCGGAACTTTTGGCGGGGATACTTCTCTTGGGCGTAGAGTTTGTACCCCTCAGGAACACAGGAGGGAGTCTCGAGAACTTCCTTTTCTTTCTCTATCATGAGAGAAATGTTAACGCAGTCAAACCGCTTCATGAGCTTGTCGTCGACTGACTTATTTCTTGGGGAAGCCCTGGGCTTCTTTGGAGAGGCCTCTACCTGACCTGAGTTTTCCTCATCGGTCTGCCGCTTAGTAACTGATCTCCTTTTTCTTGGAGTTTCAGGAACCGCAAATACGGGCTCTTCTTGAACAACAGAAGCTTTGTCTGGAACTTTTTGAACCGATCTTGTCTTTTTGATCGGAGTCGTCGCAACAACATTAACCTTTCTTTTTTGAGGGGTTGTTGGTGGCAACAGCCTAATATCTTGAATCGAAGGCCGACCTTGAGGTGGAATAATTTCAATCTTAGACCACCGAGCAAGTCTTTCCGCCTGTGTGGCGCCGTAAAGCTGGAACTGTCTTGACAACTGAACTAACAGCAATTCTCTCAAGTCACGGGAGGTTAGACCTAAGGGTTTAACTTCTTCGCCGCTTTCCGAGCACATTAGGTACAGTAATGTGTTGTGGACGGTATGGAAGCCGCAGCTGACTCCATCATACTGTCGGTCAAATTTGTGACCAATCTCTTCTATCAATAAACAGTCTTTATTGAAGACCGAGTTAGAAACACTGTTTAAATATTGTCTAATACTCGGACTGGTCGAACTCAAAAGGGGACGACCGTTCATGTCGAAAAGGGTATCAATCAAAACCCCTTTTACGGCTCCTGTGTCGGAAACCTCGATAATTGCAACTCCGAAGTGGGTTCCATCGTACAGAGGAATAACCAACTTGGCCGGGAGCCGAGGCAATGGGTTAAAGATCACAAAAGATGGATCGAAAACACCAGTGGTCAAAAAGTTTTGATAGCCACGTGAACTGAGCAAGCCGAGATTGGCTGTAAAATGTGGAAGATACTCAGCGATTCCAAATGTTAAGGCTACAGTGGTCGCCATTTCATTAGGAGAGCTCTGCAGGTCTTCTAATCCGATCTGGAGCAAACATAGATCTAGGTCAAAACCATAGGGCCTTGTCTTAAAATTACGATTATATTGTGATTCCATAAAAGATTCAGGCACAATATCACTTAGCAATAGATAAGACATGCCACCGCCCATAAAAGTATCCTCATCCATATTTGGAAAATACCTGAAGGCATCATATGGATATGGAATGTCCACATTCCGTTTCAAAGGAGGATTTGTTTCAATCAAATCCTCAAACAGGAATGAATCCATACTTTTGGAGAGACTTTCAACGTCTTCAAACTCCTTGTTGGATTCATCGATCTCAACAGGGGACTTAACAACCTTTAAAGACCCGTTTTTCACAGCTTTCTGTGATTTGGTCTTTCGCGATGCGAATCCTATGCGTCTGGCGCGTGGTTTCGACCGGCTTTTTGCCTGGCTGATCTCTGCCTCAGCATTCAATTCAGAATTTTGAGGAAGAGATAAGGCCGTTTTTCGGCTTTAGATGGCTTCTGAGCCTGGGAGACGGCTTTTCTACCGCCTCCACGACAGGCCTCAGCGTAAAGCTGGCAGTAAGCAACAGGAATATTGCTGTTTTCAAGCAATTTCTTGTCTTTGGGCAACAGCATGCTACCGGGTCGAGACCCGGAGCTTCTGCTAATCCTCTGAGCCGGCGAGAACTCGTACCCGGGACGAATCCCGGGAGAATTTTCCATCCGTAAACCCGGCGATGACTCGTACCCCGTTAGAGTTTGGGGAGAATTATCCATCCGGGCGGGCGAGAACTCGTACCCGGGACGAATCCCGGGAGAATTTTCCATCCCTGAGGGCGAGAACTCGTACCCGGGACGAATCCCGAGAGAATTTTCCATCCCTATTATAGGCGAGAACTCGTACCCGAGACGAATCCCGGGAGAATTTTCCATCCTATTTTTATAGATAGTAGAATAATAAGTAGAAATAAAAAATTTTGAAAGCATCTCGAAAAATGAAATAATTTCAAAAGAAAAATAATTTTTTGAGTCAAAGCTCAATTAGCAAGCGAATCAAAGTTCACTGAAATCCTTCGTTGAAAGATAACAAATTTCCAACCGAACGCGCATCAATTATTTCCTTGCGAAGCGAAGAAATGGGTAGGAACAACGAAGAGAGCGAGAGAAACGCGCGCTATTTCGCGCTCTCTCTGCCTCTCAGCGCCCTCTCTCCGTTTCGCGCTCTCTCGCTCTCTCTCGTTTTTCGCGTGTCCGATCTGGCAAGTTAAGCAACTTTACAAAAAAGATGTCGCAATAAGCTGGAAATGATTAAGTAATTAAAATATAATTAATTTATGATATTTAGAAAATAAAATCAAAATTTTATATGCAACTTGAAGCGAGTTACATCAAAAACAAATTCATATTGTACATGAGGAAATGTGAAAAAAAAATGTTTTTAAGGGAAGAAAAGGCAGGAATTAAATAGCAAATAATGTAGTAGATTAAATTTGTGATTTTTAGAGACCATTCCGATCCGTTTTTATGAAACTTGAACAAAGTTACATCAAAAATAAAATTTATATTGTACTTGAGCTCGAAAATTGCGAATAACTTTCGACCGGTCGATAATTGTCAATAGCAAGTTGCGTTCAGAAGGCTTAGAATTTCACGTGGAATAGGATAGAATGAAAAAATTATCGAAAATCGAAAAAAATTTTCCCAACTTTCGACCGGTCGATAATTGTCAATAGCAAGTTGCGTTCAGAAGGCTTAGAATTTCACGTAAAATATGATGGAATAAAAAAAAATGCGAAAATCGAAAAAAATTTTCCTAACTTTCGACCGGTCGATAATCGTAAATAGCAAGTAGGCTTCAGAAGTCGAAGAATGTTGCGCTGAACATGATGCAGTAAAAAAATTTCGGAAAATTCGACGTATAAAGAAGTTATAGCCAAAACAAAATTATATTACACATGGCAATTGAGACAAATTTTGAATTTCGCTGATGTAAGAAGGGCTCCGGTCGGCTCCAGCCTTCGGCTGGAGCCTCCCGGAGCAGCCGGCGAGCCGGCTCGGCCTTCGGCCTCGCCAGCTCGCAATAATTTTTTATAAAAATAGTCTTTTTTGCTGTGTAAGTAGGGCTCCTCTTCCGATAAAGTAGTTTCAGTCGAAAGTTGCGTAAAAGAAAAGAAATTTCCCGCCATTTTAGGTGAGAAAAAAATCCCGAAAATTGACGTTGTGACAACAGCGCAGCCTTGGAGAGCTGAGAAGCTAAAAAAATCCACAGGGTACTCTATGGAAATACGAAGACAACACCGAAGCCCTTTTTTCGAAGTTGGACTTCAGTTTCAAAGAAAAAAATTATTTAGAAGCCTTATGTTACATAGCTTTAATAGTAACGACTTGAATGAATAACATGCTTAGTAACAACAAATATTTTGTAACAACAAAATCAAAGTAATGGGAAAGCAAGCTGTTTTAAGATTTCCCCAACTTCGCTTTGATTAGCTCGTTCAACGTGACGATGGGGCGGGCTGGCTTCATAGAATTATTGAATTCAGACAATGGAGAATTAGACCCCTTTAAAGAATCATATAAGTTTATGATCTACTTAAAACAATCAACAACAAACAATAAAAATTTTTCACTCCACCTTAGCCTTAGACCGTCGGAAGATTCTCGGAGTCTTCTTCTTCTTGAAATCATGATGAGGAGAGTCGCCAACCTTCGTTCCCGTCGCAGTCTGGGCCTTCTCCACATTGAACTTGACATTCTCGGCGTTCTTCTTGATCTCGGCGGTCTTCTCGCCTTCAGCTTGCTTCTTCTCCTTTCCGTCCTTCGCTTTTGCGGGTTGCACGGTGTCCTTCTGTTTGGTTCCCCACGTTTTCGCCTTCTCCCAAACAGAGAGCTTGTAACAGTCATCATCGCAATGTTTCGCCACCTCAGATGAAGTCAAGTCCTTGTTGAGCGGTTTATGGAAGTTCCCGTAGCTGCCGTCGTCATGCTCATTGACAACTTCCGAAGTTTGAGGTGGGATATTTTCCTCATCGGGATTGTAGACCGGGGTGATGCAATTGTCGTATCTTGTTTCCAAAAGACTGTCTTCGTTGGGGGAAGGGGGGTTTTTTTTGTCAGCGTTGTGACTAAAATAAAGGTTGTAATATAGATGATAACAAAAATCAATAATCTTTACTGAAAAGTTGTAAAAACTTACCGATTATCGACGGAAGGTGAAATAGGGACAGGCTGTAGAGAGGGCTGACGGGAAGGAGATCCATTATCCGGTTTCAACGCGCGCTTCTTGAAACGACTTCTAAAGAATAGAATGTAGTATCAACGGTATTAGACCAAAAGAATAGCAATAGCTTTTATATAAGGACTTACTGTTTGGAAAGAAATCTGGATCTTCCCTCATTTCTTTGGGCACCAAAGCCACCACGGCCGCCTCCACCACGACCGCCACCACCTCTGCGCCATGAGCCGCGTCCTCGGCCCCCGCCTTGAGATCCTTGCTGGATGATAACTTGCTTTAGTATCTTAGTTTGGCCGTAGGCCTGCAAATAAAAAACAGAAATGAAACATTGTAAAAAAACATAGAAAAACACCAATTTAAACTCACATTCATGGTGGTATAGATCAAAAAAGTCCAAAATCTTCAGAAATTTCGATTTTCAGAGCTCTCGAATCAATGAAAACGATACGAAGTTTCGAAACGGTTCAGGAAATGCGCTGGATTGACGTGCACTGTCGATCTGAAACCAAAATGAGTAAATTAATATGTAAGAAAACAAATTGTTTTCGAAAAATACAAAAACAAAGTCAAAAGATGTAAAAATAAGTGAGGGTTGTGAGAGAAAAGAAGGAATTCGATTTTTCATTACACTCGATCCTGCGGCCCTTCAATTGCATCCATTTTTCCCGCAATTACAATCGATTTAGGTATGTTTTTTCATTTTTTTTGTTGATCTTTGAAGGTGGGGGGGAGAACAGAAGGAAGTGGGGGTAAAATGTGGGGCAAAACCTTGGCAAAATTTTGGCCAACCTTTGGCAAAGCTTTTGCCAACATTTCGTCCGCTTTTTGCCCACTTTTGACCTTATTTTAGGCGGCTCAAGGGTTAACCCTTTTTCCGCCTAAAATAAGGTCAAAACTGGGCAAAAAGGTGGACGAAACGTTGGCAAAAGTTTTGCCAAAGCTCCGTCAAACCTTTGTCAAGCATTTACCCCATATTTTACCCTCACTTCCTTCTTTTCTCTCAGAAAACTTGCTTTATTTTGAGATTTTTTTGAACTTTAGTTATTTGTGGGATTTTTTTTTATTTTTCGGTGTTCAAGGGGGGAAGTGGGGGTTAAAGGCTTTGTAAAAGCTTGGAAAAGGTTTGACGGAGCTTTGGCAAGGCTTTTGCCAACGTTTCGTCGACCTTTTTGCCCAGTTAGACCTTATTTTAGGCGGGAAAAGGGTTAACCCGCCTAAAATAACGTCAAAACTGGGCAAAAAGTTTGACGAAACGTCGACAAAAGTTTCGCCAAAGGTCGGCCAAACTTTTGCCAAGCTTTTACAAAGCCTTTTACCCCCAATTCCCCCCTTCAACACCGAAAAATAAAACAAATCCTAAAAATAAGTAAAATTTCAAAAAAAATCTCAAAATAAAGCAAGTTTTCTGAGAGAAAAGAAGGAAGTGGGGGTAAAATGTGGGGTAAATGCTTGACAAAGGTTTGACGGAGCTTTGGCAAAACTTTTGCCAACGTTTCGTCCACCTTTTTGCCCAGTTTTGACCTTATTTTAGGCGGAAAAAGGGTTAACCCTTGAGCCGCCTAAAATAAGGTCAAAAGTGGGCAAAAAGCGGACGAAATGTTGGCAAAAGCTTTGCCAAAGGTTGGCCAAAATTTTGCCAAGGTTTTGCCCCACATTTTACCCCCACTTCCTTCTGTTCTCCCCCCCACCTTCAAAGATCAACAAAAAAAATGAAAAAACATACCTAAATCGATTGTAATTGCGGGAAAAATGGATGCAATTGAAGGGCCGCAGGATCGAGTGTAATGAAAAATCGATGCAATTGAAGGGCCACAGGTTGTTGTCGATTCCAAACCGCGCAATTCCACTTGGTGTGGCGATGGCTCCTTTGGCAACTGAAACAAAGGAATATAATAAAAACGTAAAAAAATATGAAACACGAAAAATAGGAAAAATCTCGAAAGAAATAATAAAAAATTACGAAAGCATTCATATAACAACATGAAATCGTTGCAAAAAGTTTTGTTGCGAAAAAATAGAATCCCTTTTTGGGTAAACAAAGCTGTTTGGGGTGCAGGCTGCGCCCGAGGAACTGCAAATAAATTTTGATAAAATACTTTTAAAACAGCGGGGAAACATGGGATTATTAAAATATAATTAAATTATGATATTTACAAAAAAAATCGACTTTTTACATGCAGTTTGACCGAAGTTACAGCCGAAACAAATTTATATTGTACATGATCAAATGGGAGAAAAAATTTATTTCAATAGAAGCAAAAGCAGAAATCAAATATAAAATGATGTAACGTATTAAATTTGTGAATTTTAGGCACCATCCCGACCCGATTTCATAAAGTTCGAGCAAAGTTACAGCCAAATGAAATTTATATTGTACATGATGAAATGTGAAAAAAAAAATGTTTTAACTGTCAGAAAAAAGAGGAATGAAATGGAAAATAACGTAGTATATTAAATTTGTGATTTTTAGAGACCATTGCGATCCATTTTTATGCTAATTGACCGAAGTTACAGCCAAAACCAAATTATATTACCCATGGGAATTGAGAAAAAATTTGAATTTCGCTTATGTAAGCAGGGCTCCGGTCGGCTCCAGCCTTGGGCTGGAGCCTCCCGGAGCAGCCGGCGAGCTGGCTCGGCCTTCGGCCTCGCCAGCTCGCAATAAATTTTTATAAAAATAGTCTTTTTCGCTTCTTTTTTTTATTAAAGTAGTATTCTTCGCTGTGCAAGTAGGGCTCCGGTCGGCTCCAGCCTTCGGCTGGAGCCTCCCGGAGCAGCCGGCGAGCTGGCTCGGCCTTCGGCCTCGCCAGCTCGCAATAAATTTTTATAAAAATAGTCTTTTTCGCTTCTTTTTTTTATTAAAGTAGTATTCTTCGCTGTGCAAGTAGGGCTCCGGTCGGCTCCAGCCTTCGGCTGGAGCCTCCCGGAGCAGCCGGCGAGCTGGCTCGGCCTTCGGCCTCGCCAGCTCGCAATAAATTTTTATAAAAATAGTCTTTTTCGCTTCTTTTTTTTATAAAAATAGTCTTTTTCGCTGTGCAGGTAGGGCTCCGGTCGGCTCCCGCCCTCGGCGGGGGCCCCCCGGGAGCAGCCGGCGAGCTGGCGAGGCCTTCGGCCTCGCCAGCTCGCGATAATTTTTCGCTTATGTATGGAATTCGCAGTTTTGGCAGAAATTTGGCCAGTGCTCACTGAATTCGAAAGCGATTGGGCTGAAATTTGGCACGATTGAAGCTTGTGGAATTTGTCGAAAATTGACCCGAGCCGAATTTTGAATTTTACACTTTTGCCCTCGGGGCGTATTTAGATCGCTGAAAAAATTTAATTTTGGTCTGGACGGTCGTATTTTAGGAAAAGTTGGAGTTGCGCACATGAATATTACCCAAAATTTGATTCCGCGTCGATTGGTACCAAGATCGTGTCAATAGCTCCACTGGCAGCCGAGTTCTGGAAGGGCGGATGCAGAAAATTTCAATTTTGCAATTTGTCGTTATGCAGGCGGGGTAAGATGGTCGTATGTTGGGAAGTGAAAGTTGTTTCTAGGGCAGTTTGACGTGCTGATTACGGGGCTCATCTCGAAAATCCGAAAAATTTGAAGTCCGAGCCCTGAGGGCCGATTTTCTGGAAAAAATCCCGAAAATTTTGCGCGCCGCATTCGATCTGCCTTAGGGCATGGTATCAGAATCCGAAAAAAAGCACAGAGTAACTTCAGTCTATTCCCGAGCCAACGCCGAGCCATTTTTTTGAATTTCGACCTAGTTTCCGAGAAACGGAAATTTGAATATTACACATGACACCAAGAATTTCAAAAAATCTCGAATAGCTAAAATACGAAATACGATAGCAAGATACGAAAGGTGGTTCTAGAGTAAGTCAGGCACGCAGATTCAGAATCCGTCGTCAAAATCCAGAAATTCCGTCATCTTGATGGTGAAAAATGGAAATTTCGGAAAATCGGGAATAACTATCGACCGGTCGATAAATGGACTATGGTGTAACGGGATGTTTTTCATTACTCGAGATGTGGATACGAATGGAATTTGAGTTTTTTTCACTCCGATGCCCTGAAGGCTCAAACTGCTATCTGGCCCTGGGGGCATGTTATGCAAATTTCGAAAATCCGCGAAGGAAGGGCCCCACCCACACATGAAATATCACCCAATAGCTTGTCCCAACTGCTCCTGGTTCAAAAGTTACGGGCGATCAAAAATCGAAAAATTTCATTTTCAACAGGGCGCAGCTCGCGGGAAACGAAAAATTTCAACTATCCGCTGATGCCAAAAGTCTTAGAATTTTGTGTAGCAACTTCGCGAAAAATTTTTTCCCGATATCTCAACGTTGAATAGTTTTCAGTTTAGTTTTTTATGGTATCTTTCGACAAGCCCCCGCTTCGCGGGGCCTTGACGTCGCTGTGCGCGCAAAGGTTGCCACACGTGCTCTACTGTTGATCGCGCACTACCTCTGGAGTCGCTGGCCCCGCTTCGCGCGGCCAGAAAAACGCGCTATCGCGCGTTATACTTACTCAAGCCCGACAGTTATGGTCAGGTAAAGGCCGCGCGCCAGCGCTACTTTTCATCAGCTAAAGGCCGCGCGCCAGCGCTACCTTCCATAAGTTTACTTTGTAGTCATTGACCGGCTCTTGGTGAAAAGCCTCCCCGCCACGTCAAGGCGGCCGGTCTTCGGGGAAGTGGTGTTATTTTTTTTGGAAAAAATAACAAAACCTTTGCCCTTCTCTTTATGAATTTTGAATTTCAATTATCGTTTATTTCCCAGCAGGTTTCTGAGGGTATTTCGACTTTTGATTCTCGTAAATTGCATCGAGATCGCGGAGGAACTCTGTGACTTCGCCGTAAACCACATTATCAATCTCGTCCGTATCGACGTGAGAGTATATGTGGATGTCGGCGGCCCTTCGTGTGCGACTAAGCGACACATATGTCTGGCCGTGACTAAACACGGGATCGTCCAAGTATAGTCCAACGACGTTCAAGGTTTGACCTTGAGCACGGTTAATGGACATTGCGAAGGCCAATTGCAATGGGAATTGATAACGCGTAAAGCGTATTCCTGCTCTGGCGTCTTTTCGAGGGCGATAGTCAAATCGACTTCTGGCAATAAGGGCTATTTGCCCGAGATTGCCGTGAGGGTCGATCTTCTGACATTCGACCAAGTCGTTGTGCAAGGCAACGACCCGCATTCTGGTTCCGTTCGAGAAACCTGTGCGGACTGATAAGTTTTTACGTAGAATGACATCTACTCCGACTTTCAGTTTCAACTCTCCGGGAGGCATATTGCCGTCATTAACCTTGCAAATTTGCTCCTGCATTGCCTCGATCACTGTGTGATCGAAGTTACTGACATCGTCAGGATTCGGAGTGTTCACCGAGACGTACACTTGCTCCTTCCCCGGGAAGCGGTCAAGAATCTCGGTGTTCAGATTCGTTACAGTCAGAACTCGAGGGGCTAATATCGCCATTCCGGTTGGTCTTGTCTCGAGAGTCATCTGTAGATGACTTTCGGGGAAGACAGCCTCAATCATGTCTTGCGGACTTGTATGATTGTGAATGTCCGGATGCAACTTGTGTCTAATCGAGAAGGCGGTCACCCTTGAAGCAAAGTTTGTTCCTGAGCCAATTTCTTGGAGAAACTGTCTGTAACTCCTTTCATCAGCTCTTGTTCTGTGATTTTGCTTTAGAACAATGTATTGCATTTCTGCTTTTTTGGAGATCAGTGACCTGTTCCATTCTTCGCCGATCCTGAGATCTGGACAAACGGGCAGTATTTGTTGGTAATCTCCTCCGTAGAGGATGACCAACTGCCGATCAATATCGCCTGGTCTGCGAACATGGCGCAACAGACGCTGCAAGTAATCGTACATGTTAATGTGCAATTGACTTGCTTCGTCAATGATCAAAAGACCAAGTTGACGAATACGCTGGGCCCTGGAGTCTTCGTACTTTAGAGTAGGAAGAGTGTCCGGGGTGAGATCAAGTGGAGCCCACAACAGATTATGGAGGGTCATTCCACCGGGCAGCAAGTTAGCCGCTACTCCGGTTGTAGCGGTGGCCGCGTATTTGATGCCATTCTCGGTGCAATAATTTGCGAGTTCAGTGTACAGGGTTGTTTTCCCTGTACCGCCTGCGCCATGTATAAAGAATTGACGATGGGGCATCGCCTTATTCTTTAGCCCGAGTTCCATCGCCTTGGTTATAGTATCAAAGGCGTATTGTTGGTCGTCTCCGAGGACTACCTTTGGCTTAGGAGGTTCTGGAGGACGCTCAGTCGTTTCGAACTCCCCAACGAAAAGATCCACGTCTTCACCGTGGACATCAGGGTCATATGCTCCATCCAAGGGTGGTAAATTGAAGGATTCATACTTCCCACCCATATTGGAGATGTAATAGCTTAGGAGCTCCAAGGCTCTGCGCTCTTGCCTTTCCCTGATTTCAGCATCAGGCATGTTGGGCCTGTGGAATGTCGGCATCATCATGTGGATCTTATAGTCGTTCCACAATTGAAGCTGATCTTCAATAAGTTCACCGGCCTCGATGAGGACTTGGGCAAACAGAAACACGAAGTGTTTGCAGGTGCGTCCACGGGCTTGGTCGAGGGCTTGTCGCCAAAGAACATCCGAGTGGAAAAGTCCTCGGGCCTGAGCAGCCTCCAAAAATGTGGCGTAAATGTGGCCTCTACATCTAGTTTCAAATTAGGATTTGTTTCAATCAAGTCCTCAAATTGGAATGAATCCATACTTTGGGAGAGACTTTCGACATCCTCTAACTGTTCTGTGCGATGATCTTGCTGTTCAACCTGAACAGAAGTCTTTACAGATGGCTGACAGTCTTGTGTTTTAGACAGCTGCGACTTTCTCTTTCGGGAAGCAAACCCCATGCCTTTTGAAGCCCGTTTTGTTCGGGATTTTCCTTCAGATGTCGGAGCAGAGTGACATTTCTGAAGTGGCAATGACTCGGCTTTTTTGCTGGACTTGTCAACTTGTGAGGGGTTCCTTTTACCGCCTCCACGACATGCCTCAACGTAACGCTGGCAGGGGTTGGCAGGAATACTGCCGTTTTCAAGCAGTGTCATCTGCTTAGTCTCAGCGTAAAGCTGGCAAAGATTGGCAGGAATGTTGCCGTTTTCAGGCAATTTCATCTGCTTTGCAGGAATATTGCCATTTTCAGGCAATTTCATCTGCTTTGCAGGAATATTGCCATTTTCAGGCAATTTCATCTGCTTTGCAGGAATATTGCCATTTTCAGGCAATTTCATCTGCTTTGCAGGAATATTGCCATTTTCAGGCAATTTCATCTGCTTTGCAGGAATATTGCTCTCAGGCAATTTCATCTGCATCCGTTGCGGGAATTTATGCATCCGCCTATTAGTAGTAGTAGAAGTAGTAGTAGTAGGAATACGAATATAATTTTGGCAAGGCATCGAAAAAAAATATTTCGAAGCGAAGTTCAAAATGAAGAAAATTTTCGAATCGAAATTCACGAAAAAAATCCGATTCGAAAAAAATAGTAGCGCGCGAAAATAAAAGTTTTGAGTCAAAGCTCAATTAGCCAGTGAAGCAAAGTTCACTTGAAAATCCTTCTGCGAAAGATAACATATTTCCAACCGAACGCGCATCAACGATTTCCTTGCGAAGCGAAGAAATGGGGAGGAAAAACGAAGAGAGCGAGAGAAACGCGCGCTATTTCTCGCTCTCTCTGCCTCTCAGCGCCCTCTCTCGGTTTCGCGCTCTCTCGCTCTCTCTCTCTCTTTTTCGCGTGTCCGATCTGGCAAGTTAAGCAACTTTACAAAAAAGATGTCGCAATAAGCTGGAAATGATCAAATAATTAAAATATAATTAATTTATGATATTTAGAAAAAAAAATCAAAATTTTATATGCAATTTGAAGCGAGTTAAATCAAGAACAAATTTATATTGTACATGAGGAAATTTGAGAAAAAAATGTTTTTAATGAAAGAATAGGCACGAATCAAATAGAAAATATTGTAGTAAATTAAATTTGTGATTTTTTGAGACCATTCCGATCCATTTTTATGCGAAATGACCGAAGTTACAGCCGAAAAAAAATTACATTGTACTTGACCTAGAAAATCGCGAATAACTTTCGACCGGTCGATAATTGTCAATAGCAAGTTGGGTTCAGAAGGCTTGGATTTTTGCGCAGAACACGATGCAATCAAAAAATTTCCGAAAATCGAAAGTAGAAAGAAGTTACAGCCAAAACAAAATTTATATTGTACTTGACCTCGAAAATTGCGAAAATTTGAGAAAAAAAATGTTTTAAATGAAAGAAAATGCAGGAATCAAATAGAAAATATTGTAGTAGATTACATTTCTGATTTTTAGAGACCATGCCGATCCATTTATATGCGATTTGACCGAAGTTACAGCCGAAACAAATTTATATTATACTTGACTAAAACTGCGAATAACTTTCGACCGGTCAATAATTGTCAATAGGGTTCAGAAGGCTTAGAATTTGACGCAGAATAGGACGAAATCAAAAATTTAGCGAAAATGGAAAAAAAATTTCCTAACTTTCGACCGGTCGATAAATAAAAATTATATTACACTTGGCGATTGAGTGAAATTTTGAACTTTGCTGATGCAAGTAGGGCTCCGGTCGGCTCCAGCCTTCGGCTGGAGCCTCCCGGAGCAGCAAGCGAGCTGGCTCGGCCTTCGGCCTCGCCAGCTCGCAATAAATTTTTATAAAAATTGTCTGTTTCGCTGTGTGAGTAGGGCTCCGGTCGGCTCCAGCCTTCGGCTGGAGCCTCCCGGAGCAGCAAGCGAGCTGGCTCGGCCTTCGGCCTCGCCAGCTCGCAATAAATTTTTATAAAAATTGTCTGTTTCGCTGTGTGAGTAGGGCTCCGGTCGGCTCCAGCCTTCGGCTGGAGCCTCCCGGAGCAGCAAGCGAGCTGGCTCGGCCTTCGGCCTCGCCAGCTCGCAATAAATTTTTATAAAAATTGTCTGTTTCGCTGTGTGAGTAGGGCTCCGGTCGGCTCCAGCCTTCGGCTGGAGCCTCCCGGAGCAGCAAGCGAGCTGGCTCGGCCTTCGGCCTCGCCAGCTCGCAATAAATTTTTATAAAAATTGTCTGTTTCGCTGTGTGAGTAGGGCTCCGGTCGGCTCCAGCCTTCGGCTGGAGCCTCCCGGAGCAGCAAGCGAGCTGGCTCGGCCTTCGGCCTCGCCAGCTCGCAATAAATTTTTATAAAAATTGTCTGTTTCGCTGTGTGAGTAGGGCTCCGGTCGGCTCCAGCCTTCGGCTGGAGCCTCCCGGAGCAGCAAGCGAGCTGGCTCGGCCTTCGGCCTCGCCAGCTCGCAATAAATTTTTATAAAAATTGTCTGTTTCGCTGTGTGAGTAGGGCTCCGGTCGGCTCCAGCCTTCGGCTGGAGCCTCCCGGAGCAGCAAGCGAGCTGGCTCGGCCTTCGGCCTCGCCAGCTCGCAATAAATTTTTATAAAAATTGTCTGTTTCGCTGTGTGAGTAGGGCTCCGGTCGGCTCCAGCCTTCGGCTGGAGCCTCCCGGAGCAGCAAGCGAGCTGGCTCGGCCTTCGGCCTCGCCAGCTCGCGATAATTTTTCGCTTATGTAAGGAATTCGCACTTTTGGCCGAAATTTGGCCAGTGCTCACTGAATTCGAAAGCGATTGGGCTGAAATTTGGCACGATTGAAGCTTGTGGAATTTGTCGAAAATTGACCCGAGCCGAATTTTGAATTTTACACTTTTGCCCTCGGGGCGTATTTAGTTCGCTGAAAAAATTTAATTTTGGTCTGGACGGTCGTATTTTAGGAAAAGTTGGAGTTTCGCACATGAATATTACCCAAAATTTGATTCTGCGTCGATTGGTACCAAGATCGTGTCGATAGCTCCACTGGCAGCCGAGTTCTGGAAGGGCGGATCCAGAAAATTTCGAATTTTTGCCTTTGTCGCTAGGCGGGCGGGGTAAGATGGTCGTATGTTGGGAAGTGAAAGTTGTTTCTAGGGCAGTTTGACGTGGCGATTACGGGGCTTATCTCGAAAATCCGAAAAATTTGAAGTCTGAGCCCTGAGGGCGGATTTTGTGCAAAAAATCCCGAAAATTTTGCGCCAACAGTTTGATCTGACTTCCGGCAGGGTCCCAGTAGCCGAAAAAATTCCAGCGATAGCTGAGACTAATAGCTATGTCGCTGTGGAGCCGGATTTTTGAATTTCGATCTAGTTTTCCAGAAAAAAATTCCGGAAAATTTCGACTTTTTTGGGAAATTTCGGAAAATCTCGAATAGCTAAAATACGAAATACGATAGCAAGATACGAAAGGTGGTTCTAGGGTATGTCAGGCATGCTGAATCAGAATCCGTTGTCAAAATCCAGAAATTCCGTCATCTTGATGGTGAAATCTGGAAAAATCCGAAAAATCGCGAAAATCGCTTATAACTTTCGACCGGTCGATAATTGTAAATTGTAAGTTGGGTTCAGAAGTCTTAGAATTTCGTGAAGAATACGATGGAATCAAAAAAAATCCGAAAAGTCCAACCGTTAGGGGTGATATCCGGAGGGCATAGATATGCAAATTTCGAAAAAACCGAAAGTTTCGGCCCCAATCGATGATGACAATAGCCAAAAAGCTAAGGGCTACCTGAAAAATGTCAAAAGTTACGGCGAAAAAACGATTAAAAAATCCCACTTTCAACAGGGCGCAGCTCGCCGGAAACGAAAAATTTCAACTATCCGCTGATGCCAAAAGTCTTAGAATTTTGTGTAGCAACTTCACTAAAAATTTTTTCCCGATATCTCAACGTTGAATAGTTTTCAGTTTAGTTTTTTAGGGTATCTTTCGACAAGCCCCCGCTTCGCGGGGCCTTGACGTCGCTGTGCGCGCAAAGGTTGCCCCTGCACAGTGTCGCTGATCGCGCACTACCTCTGGAGTCGCTGGCCACGCTTCGCGCGGCCAGAAAAACGCGCTATCGCGCGTTCTACTTACTCAAGCCCGGGAGTCTCTGTGACCGAGAGGCCGCGCGCCAGCGCTACCCTCCGCCAGCGAAAGGCCGCGCGCCAGCGCTACCTTACATCAACGAAAGGCCGCGCGCCAGCGCTACGTTTCATCAACGAAAGGCCGCGCGCCAGCGCTACGTTTCATCAGCTAACTTTAATCGATCAACTGTTTTTTGGACTTTGCCTCGGCCTTCGGCCTCGGCACAGTTCGCTGGAGCACTCTACAACAACATTCCGAAGGTTCCGTAACCAACGGCGGCCTTCGGCCGCCGATGCTTCACCAAAAAAGTCAATTTGGCTCGGCCTTCGGCCTCGCAAAGTTTCAAATCGCGAATAAATGAAAAAAAAATCCGAAAAGAAATCCGACTTGCTCCGCTCCGACCCGGAGCTAATATTTCGAATCACAACCACTCACCCCAGCCAACCCTAATTTACCCCGCCCCCTTGAAATGGGGAACTCCGCTTCCTTTCTCCGTCTTCTCATCCGTTCTCTCGCTTTCCGCTCTCTCTCGAAATTCGAACTTGCGTAACAGCAAAGGAATTTCCCTCTTCGGCTCACTCTTCAGCCACGCACAAAAAAATCCAAAGTGCCCGCGCTTTCTGGAGGCAGTGCTCACTCAGTTCGAAACCGATTGGGCTGAAATTTGGCACGATGGAAGCTTACCGAATTTGTCAAAAATTGACCCGAGCCGAATTTTGAATTTCGAACTTTATTTGCCCTGAGGGCCGAATTTATGCGAAAAATGCCAAAAATCGACCTTTTGCCAACGGCGCAACGTCAACGGGACGACATCAGGAGCTGAAAATGGTCATGGAGCTATCCCAGGCAAATACAAAGACACAACGAAACTCTTTTTGGACTTTCGTCCCCGATTACGCGAATGAGGACTTTATATTACACTTGACACCTGGCCCTGGGGAAAAAATTTGAATTTTGGTCCGGACGGTCGTATTTTAGAAAATGAAAATCCTATCCGGTGCAGTTTTTCACGCTGATAACGATAGTCGAAGTCTCGATTCACGAAATTTGAATTTTGACGCCCTTAGGGCGATTTTTCGAATTTTTGAAAATCCGGCAAAAATTTTTTTTTTTCGATTTTCACCCTGAGGGCGTGAACTGAGAGAGCTGAAATTTGGCACGATTGTAGCCAGGCGAAATACGCAGGTGCGTTTTTCTCAGATTTTTGAAGTTCGCTCTAGTTTCCGAGATATTCAGGATACCGTGCCAAAATTTTGAATCCTCGAAAATTTTAAATCGCACAGTGCGTTCGTATCTCAATCGTATTTTAGGAATCAAAAGTGGAATATAGGGTAGTTTTCAATGCTGAATCTGAGGGCACACACGAAAATCCGAAAAATTTGAAGTCCGTGCCCTGAGGGCCGAATTTTCGAAAAAAATTGAAAAATTTGGCGATATGCAGATTTTTTGAGAACCCCACCGAAGCTCCGAAGCCGAAAAATCGTATGAAGGTACTCTGGTCCAATACCAAGATCAACGCGAAGCCCTTTTTTTGAATTTCGACCTAGTTTCCGAGAAACGGAAATTTGAATATTACACATGACACCAACAACTTCAAAAAATCTCGAATGGCTAAAATACGAAATACGATGCACAGATACGAAAGGTGGTTCTAGGGCAACTTGGGCATGCAGATTCAGAATCCGTTGTCAAAATCCAGAAATTCCGTCATCTTGACGGTGAAAAATGGAAATTTCGGAAAATCGCGAATAACTATCGACCGGTCGATAATTTTTGGGGGGTGTAACGGAGTAATGTCATTTTTTTGAGAAGTAGATACGAATGGAATTTGAAAATTTTTGATTCCGTTCCGATTGGCGACAAAACGCACTTTTTTGCCTAAGGGCAAGATATGCAAATTTTGAAAATCCGCAAAGTTTTGGACCCCAACAAAGGTGAAACTGAGCCAGAAGCTAAGGAAAAGTCGAGAAATTCAAAAAGTTACAGCCAATCTAAGAAAAAAAAATCTCACTTTCAAACGGCCGTAGTTCCCGCCAAAATCGGCGGAAGGGAAATTCTGAAAATTAAAAGTCTTAGAATTTCGTGTTCTACCGCTATGCCAAATTTCAGGAAAAAAAGTCAACGTCTTCGATTTTTTACTTTTCTCTCTTAGGGTATCTTTCGAAAGCCCCCGCTTCGCGGGGCCTTGACGTCGCTGTGCGCGCAAAGGTTGCCACGGATGAAGGTTGTTGATCGCGCACTACCTCTGGAGTCGCTGGCCACGCTTCGCGTGTCCAGAAAAACGCGCTATCGCGCGTTCTACTTACTCAAGCCCGGGAGTGTCTGTGACCGAGAGGCCGCGCGCCAGCGCTACCCTCCGCCAGCGAAAGGCCGCGCGCCAGCGATGCCTTACATCAACGAAAGGCCGCGCGCCAGCGCTACGTTTCATCAACGAAAGGCCGCGCGCCAGCGCTACGTTTCATCAACGAAAGGCCGCGCGCCAGCGCTACGTTTCATCAGCTAACTTTAATCGATCAACTGTTTTTTGAACTTTGCCTCGGCCTTCAGCCCCGGCACAGTTCGCTGGAGCACTCTACAACAACATTCCGAAGGTTCCGTATCCAACGGCGGCCTTCGGCCGCCGATGCTTCACCAAAAAAGTCAATTTGGCTCGGCCTTCGGCCTCGCAAAGTTTCAAATCGCGAATAAATAAAAAAAAATCCGAAAAGAAATTCAACTTGCTCCGCTCCGACCCGGAGCTAATATTTCGAATCACAATCACTCACCCCAGCCAACCCTAATTTACCCCGCCCCCTTGAAATGGGGAACTCCGCTTCCTTTCTCCGTCTTCTCATCCGTTCTCTCGCTTTCCGCTCTCTCTCTCGAAATTCGAACTTGCGTAAAAGCAAAGGAATTTCCCTCTCTCGGCTCGGCCTCGCACAAAAAAATCGAAAAATCCAAAGTGCCCGCGCTTTCTGGAGGCAGTGCTGGCTCAGTTCGAAACCGATTGGGCTGAAATTTGGCACGATGGAAGCTTACCGAATTTGTCAAAAATTGACCCGAGCCGAATTTTGAATTTCGAACTTTATTTGCCCTGAGGGCCGAATTTATGCGAAAAATGCCAAAAATCGACCTTTTGCCAACGGTGCAACGTCAACGGGATGATGTCAGGAGGTGAAAATGGTCATGGAGCTATCCCAGGCAAATACAAAGGCACATCGAAGCCCTTTTTTGAATTTGGTCCCCGATTACGCGAAAGAGGAATTTATATTACACTTGACACCTGACCCTGAAAAAATTTTTTGACGTCTGAAGTAAGAAGGACAATGTAGCCGAGATTGAGGTGGTTCTAGGTCAAAACGGACATGCTGAATCCACTCCCGCCATCAAAATCCCGAAATTCCGCCGTCAACGCGAAGTTTTGGTCGATTTTTCGAAAATCGAGTTTCGGTCGATTTTGCTCCAAATTCAAACGCCGGACGTGAACGTCGAATTCAGAAGCCGAAAAAAATGTAGTAGATAGCCTGAGTAATTCCTGAGACATTTGTGACGCCCGATTTTTGAATTTCGACCTAGTTTCCGAGAAAAAAAAATTTGAATATTACACTTGACATCTGACGTCGGAAGAAAATTTGGAATCTCTAAAATACGAAACGCTACTGCGGCGTGTGATATACGTTCCTAGGGCAAGTCGTACATGCTGAATACGATGGCACATGCAAAAATCCGAAAAATTTGAAGTCCGTGCCCTCAGGGCCGATTTTTCAAAAAAAAAGTGAAAATCGACCGTTGGCGGAAGACCTCGGGATTCAACGACGATCCCAGAATCTGAAAATAATGGAGAACATAC